TGTGCCCAATAATGCATAATTTCATTTGATAAACACGTTTAGATTGAATGGTAATTTATAATCAGTCACAAGAACGTCGAATCTGAATCACTTGAAAAAAACACGGGGGTGCTTAACTTTTTTCCAGGTGTATATTATAATGTAGAATATTAACATCTTAGTCCAAGAAGTTCAGAGCCACATGTTTGTACACTCACTGAAAGATTTAATCGAATATCATCCACCTGCTAGAGACAACGCTAGATCTGCTAAAAACCTTGCAGATAAATTACAATTCTTCGCATCACGTTTTTCAGACAACTTCTCGGATTATGTATGTAGTTAGCCAGACACCAGAATCGGCTGATATCTAGTTCCGCCAATCAACCACATCAGATTAATTATCTTTTCAGAGAGAGTAAGCCATGTAGTGCTCTAGCACAGGGTCTTAGCTTCAGGTCCCGCAAGAATTTCAACACCCTGGCTTCGGACCGCCACGTAATATTTACAAACATTTTAAATAATACCCACTCTGGCGCTCCTTATTTCCTACTACATCTTGTTCTTTGAAGAAGAAGAAAAGACAGATTTAAGATATATAAGCAACGTTGTGTAATCATATTTATTACATTAAATAGGATTCTCGCGGAAAATATTGCTTTGTCTAGTTTTTACATAAGTTTAAGAACAATATTTCTATGTGTGCTTATTAGGCCTCCCTAAGACTGTCTTGAGGACACAGGTTTCGGAACCACTATGATGTATATACTAACGAAAATATCAGATTGGTATTTTAAAATACAAACATGGAAATAATAAAAAAAAAAGTTCAAACTTTGGTACCGAGTACAAATCGGTGTAACGGCAACCACTTGTTATTTTTAGAATATTTGCTTTGAATGAACTGAGTAATGTTTCAATCTTAAAGTTATGCTGATAAAAAGCTTATGATATCAGTAATTGGGGGATAAGTTTCTTGGAAGTGACGTATTCAAAATAATAAGAATTGGCATTTATTAAAGACAAAAACGTAAATGTGACGAGAGACAACAATGAATATTCTTCCGCTGGCCTAGTTCATTACTCTTTGTATGGGACTGGTGGTTGATATAAAAATAGTTACTTGTATATAATACAGCACAACCAAATAGTGTAAAATTTTTACTTGTGAATTAAAGTTACTACCTTTACCCATTACAATACAACGTGCTTAAATTTTGTAAATAAATATGACCTTTTGTAAGTGTATTCGCCTACCAAGTGATTCCTGTCCTCTAAAGCTACGGTTTTCATTTACTCAGGGCACTGTAGCTACTTTAGTAGCATCTACCGACTATTTGAAGAATTGATATGATAAGCATACTAATAGTTTTTTTCTCAGGTTTGCTTCATCTGGCGCTTGATCTTTCAGGACAAAATGTGATTGAAAAAAAAGCGACATCTAATGAGTTAGTTTTATATAATTTATCTAAGCAAAATAGAAACTACGAAGTATCGTGTTTACAGCAGTGTAGTAAAGAGTAAATTGTATAATTATTTACCCAGTAAGGAATTTCACCTCAAATTTGTAAAATGATAGTAACTACATATTTCTGTGTATTATTCTGTCCGTTAATACGTTTAAAAGCAAATTTTGTGTTTCATCGCTTTCCAAAAAACCTACTGAAAATATCAGAAGCTCGTGTTTTGTGCATCAACTGGAAGCGCTGAGAAAAGAAACAAGTAGATGTACAGTGGAGACTGTATGGTTTGTTCTAAAGCACAAAGGTACACAGTGGGCTATCAGTGCTCTGCCCGTCCTGGTCATCGAAACCCAATTTTTAGCGTTTTAATGTCACTGACTCACGCTCGAGTCACCGTGGGGCGGGACTGTATGGAAAACCTGCTCATTCGCCGTCCTTCGCAGAAGTTTGTTGCAGTGGTTTGTTTATTTTTTGAATTTCGCGCAAAGCTACACGAAGGCTATCTGCGCTAGCCGTCCCTAATTTAGCAGTGTAAGACTAGAAGGAAGGCAGCTAGTCATCACCACCCACCGCCAACTCTTGGGCTAGTTTTTTACCAACGAATATTGCGATTGACCGTCAGATTTATAACGTCCCCATGGCTGAAAGGGCGAGCATGTTTGGTGAGACAAGGATTCGAACCTGCGACCCTCAGATTGCAAGTCAAGTGCCCTAACCACCGGGCCTTGGACAAAGATGGCGACTGTTTCAAGCGTCTATGTGGGCAATTCCCAGCTCTTTCCGAAGCTAAACTTAAAGAAGGGATTTTTGTTGAGCCTCAGGTTATGACAGGTCGGATGGACAGTTCGAAAGTACAATAAGGAAAGTTGAAAAAGAAGCGTGGATTGCCTTTAAAGATGTTACTGACAAATTTTTAGGAAACGACAAGGTTCCAAATTATAAAAATACTGTCAATAACATGCTCGATAAATTCAATGAGTTGGGTTGTAATATGAGCTTGAAAGTTCATTCCTTAAACTCACATATTAACCATTTCCCTGAAATTATCGGTGCCATCAGCGGAAAGGTTTCATCAAGACATCAGGGAAATGGAGAGGAGATATCAGGGAAGGTGGAACATCAACATGATGGCTGATTACTGCTGGTCATTCAAACGAGCACAACACGTAGTTTTGAGACTAAAAGACGTAAATTTCACATAAAAATTGGGATGAATGACGATGCTTACTCGTTTGACATGAATGTTCTTCCCTTTTCTTCAGTTTGTTAACAAACATAATAATAAAAAATGTTTATTGTGGTAAACGAAATAATAATTTGATCTAAGTAAGTTTTTCTTCCCGATTTATAAAAAATTCTTTGGCGATAGAAAAAAAAATATTTTCGAAACCTGCGTAACTGAAATATGGAAAATCTGTTTTTAAAATCAAAACAACTTTTATGAACTTTAATTTCGAAGGGCTGTTATCACACATATATTTATTGCTATTATAACATTGTATATGTATTTAAAATTTCTAATGCTTATCCAATGCATTTTTTTTAGTATGAATAATTTCTCACTGAAATAACTTTAAATGTACTGCACTGAGCTTGTATATAGTCCAATTAATGTTATTCTACGGACAGTATTGTAATAATATGGTGGTAGTTATGGTGATAGCTTGCTTCATTGAAGGGTCTAGTCCGTATTGATATCATATTCATTACCAGGGTAACTTTTAATTGATGTCATTACTGTAAGTTTTTACCTTGTCATAAAGAACTTTTCAAACCTTGTATGATTATTTTAATTACACATCTTGTTATGCATACGTTACGTGACTTTATTTTATTCTTCAGTCAAAATAATCAAGTGTCGTTGTTCTGTCTAAAAACCATCTTTTTTTTTAAAGAACAAAGAATATTTTTTTCTGAATTTAAATTTTCAACAAGTTGTTAGGTAAAATTATTTTTCATCATTTCTATTCAAAGTTAAAATGTGTACCTCTTGCTATTTTAATCTTTCACTTCAATCTACTTAAAAGGTCGTAGCTAAAACGAGAGACATCTGATCACAGAAACTAAAAAAAAATTATATTTTCTGTTTTGAGCCAGTCATTTTTCATATGAAGTGTCCTCTCTGTTATAACAATAAATTAGTAGAGTTATAAATATAACTAATGGTAATTTAACCAGCCAAACTGTATTTCAGGGATATGATTTTTCACGTGTTCATATGTATATAAATGTAACAGTTTTTTACTTGGTAGTTATTACTTATATCCATGTTTAAATACGAGTTAGCTGCAGGTGGAAAATTAGTAAAAAATGTTTACAACTACTTAATGACACAAGAATAATTTTAAGGCCCCTAAAAGTACAGATCCAATTGACTTAGATATCGGTTTAGCAAATTTGTTGAGGTATACAGTAAGTAACTAAAATCTCTTAAAACTATTTTTACAGCTGAAAACAAGCAACACAAAGTGTCTTATTAGGAAAAGGATACTTGTCTAAACTGATAACTTACTTGTAAAAATATATGGAAAAAAATGTTTCTACAAAAAGGATTAAAAATTTACACTGAAAAGATTTTGAATATTTACTTTTATAAATGATGTTTTAATTTCTTATTCCTACATCCTTTACTATTTTTTTTTTTTATAGAATTTACTCATCTGCTAAATCTTAGTAAGCAGAAAGTTGTTTAATTCCTCAATGTTGCAAATTTCATCTAGAACTATACACAACTGTAGAGCATGGCTAGACAAAACAAAAATTTGTATAAATTATATCATGTTTGTGCTAAGAATATTAATTTTCTATTAAATACTCAGATATATCTTCATTCATATTCTTTTTTTTTTGGACTGGTAGTTTTATTTTACCTCTCTTATTTCTTGGTAAACCAAACAAGAGGAAATATGGAGAATGTAAAACATACAGTAACACAATGATATCCTACAACAAGCCAATCAATGATAATATTAATCACGTTTTTAATCATTTTATACCTGAATAACCTATACTGTGACTTCCATAAGAACAACTACTTACATTTTTCTTGTTTCTCAATAGCTAAGAAATGTAGTATACTTATGATGTTAGTTAAAATAATTGTCCTGTAGAGATTTAAAATATAAAGTATAAAACATATGAACGTAAAGAATTTGCCAAATTATGATGTAAAGCACTTTCTAGACAAAAGTCCTGATTCTGACCAGGGGTTAGGAATATTTATTCATAAAAGGATATATTTTATATTCCAAACATAAGGAACCAGTTACTTAAAGATAAAAACAAAATAATACTACCTTTTTACACAATAATCCTGTGTTATGTGTCAAAAATATTTTAATTTGCTATGTATTCATTTTAATTACTACTTTTAAATCTAACATAAACACTTGCAACCCAAGGTGTATGCCAAAAGTTAAACAGTATATTTTTTAGTACACAAATCAGAAATATAGTTATCACTGATTTGGAATAGCCAGGTCTAAAAGTAAAGTCACTGCAAATAAAGCCATCTAATCAGCTTAATTCTGGTAATGAAACACAATAATCACACAGTACTGAGAACAAATATGTCTGGCTATTATTTCTGGATAAGGATCTCATACAAATAACTCTGTGTAAACTTATCATATTACAAGTAAAATGAATACAGAAATAATCCTGGAAAATGGTTTTATTTACAGATTTTAAAGAAATGTCATATACTTTGATATTTACAAGCTGATTTAACATAAAATATACCACTCAAAAACTCCTTCACTATTACTCTTGCACAGTAAACCAGTGAGTTTATGTAACTTTGTTTATAATATTTAACTGGACAAAGTTGAAAGTGATACCTAACCTGGTTTTTGTGTGGTTTTATACAAAAATGAAAAGACAAGAGTCACATTCAGTTAACAATTACTTCTGACACTTCTCATAATGATGCTTGTATGTTTGCTGCATCAGGGAACAAACCATGATAGTTCACTACAGGGACATAGGCAGCAGTGATAAATCGTCCTAAAATGAAAAAAAAATATTCAGTCAATTTTATTCAATTAAAAGTTAAACTATAAATCAATTTGATAAGACTACTTAATAACTAATCATAGTTAAGTTTTGTAAATTAAACTCCACGATGTTTAATGATAAACAATGGCACGCCAAATCTCCATATAAACAGTTTATACTCATCACAGCTGGAAAACTATCACAAAAACCTTTCTTTTCAAATACCAAAATTTTAATAGGCTGATACACCATACAGGATGATGCAAGACATGATTTTTAAGTCCTGCACTGACAGATGTTTGAAATGTGAAATGATCATATCATGACAAAATGTTAATATTTTGCTAAGGTTGCAGTTCACATTCTGTAACATTAGTAAAAGAAAAAATAAGAAACTATAGTTTTCAAAAGGTAGAACTATCATGGACATACTGGGAATGACTAAGTTAAGCAGTGTGTAAAAAAGTGGAGTGATGTCATGGTTGCACAAAGTAGACTATCATGACAATCCAGAAGTGTTTTGCAAAGGAATGTTGCAAGTGTAGCTAATTTCTGTTGTACAACACAACAGGAAATGAGAAAATCTATGGGGTTTTGAGTCCATTTTACATCATCATATAGTAACCTAAATTAATTCTGGTACGTGGTTAATGTTATGACATTTCATTAGTTAATATTATGCAGCAGACTAACTATTTAATGACTGTATATGTATGTTAAGGATTTATGTTCTTTTTCACCAGAAGTGAAATTGAAAAGAGAATCTCTGACATAGAGGCCGAATGAATTCTTTGATTGGCTGTACCCTCTGCTGTGGGTTTTAGTTTCATGAAATTATGCTTTTTTCGATGTAGAATGACTACAGATTATAACACAAAAACATAAATGTTTAGTCTATATAGTTTAAAGTTCATAACATTATACATTTATATATATTTATTATATTGACCTTTCAGCC